TCACACACATCTGTGCTTGTCCTCCAAATCCATAGCTGCAGTTTTCTTGACCCCAGCTCGATGTCCCTGTTAATTACAACCCGCCTGAGCTCCAGAGCGGGCAAATGATGAGATCCGTTAGGTCGCACTTGAGGGACTTCGCACAGAAAGCCCAGGACTGGCCCGTCCCGCCTCCCATTAAATTAAAGCCACACAGACTCTCAGGAAACAGTGACACACTTTCAGGAGGCATCCAGTGTAGGTCTACGAGGGGGCGGAGTCTAGTGAAAACAGCCATTAGGAACAAAACACTTCTTCGATGGCTCATGTACAAATGTAATGGGAATCGCTTAACAGTAACACAAACAGACGAGATGTTTGTGCTCTACCGAGATCTCAGGCCTAAGCTGGGGTGCAGGAAGCCCTCTGTCATCCCAGCTTACAAACTAGGGAAGGTCATTGTTGCATCATTACCTACACGAACCGGCAGGCTACCACAAGGGTCCCAGAGGCTGCTGATTCTGCATTATTCGGGTCGATTCCAGGCGGTCATTTAGCCCTTCGCTGTTTTATAACTCTCTGCAGGCCAGGAGGAGGGGCAAAGCCCAGTTGGGAATCTTTCCACAGATTCAGAACCAGGTTCATGTGATCAGCCTCCCTTCCCCATTGACACACCTGGATTAGGAGCAGCAGAGGAACAGCAAACGATCAGCAAGCGAACAGCGACCCCTTGACCGGCTGCTCCTCTATCCACGTTTCCAGGTTACTAACCGAGTATTACAGTTAAATGTGTACCAGGGTCAAACGAGTTTCACTCTTTAACAGGACACTGCTGCTCACAGAGTATTGGCACTTTAACAAGCACAGTATCTTAATGAATGCTGGAGTTTAAGGACTATGGAGGCTTAATAAATAGCTTTCAGTAATGAGACCGGCTGTCTAACGAACACCAAGGCGCAAGCTGACACAATAATAAGCAGGACATGCTTATCATGCATTTGGCTGTCAATTATGATGCATCTTATTCGCCATGCAAAACTGACAACGGAGCGTCCTCTGCGGATGGCCAGGATCTGGCCTGAGAAAGAAGCCACCCCACGTCTGCAGGCCCCCCCCCCCCCGGTACTGTCCCCTCTGAGGAGACACCTGACTGTGTTTGTAATCAGATCCGGCTGATAAAAGCCATCAGAGCACAGGTTTGGTCTGGGATTGTCATGCTTGCATGAGCAGCCATCATAGGTGCAGTAGGGGAATGATTCAGGAGACCACAGAATACATAAAATCAAAAAAACATATAATGTATATGTTTCTAGGCACGGCCCTGGGCCCACAGATGCTAATCAGCTTCTCCTGATGCCGTGTGTCTGATGATCTGAAGAGCAAACCTGACTGAGATGTTTGCCCCCCCGAACCTGCCAGTCTCCAGCTCACCCCGCAGGGTGTCACATTTCACACGGGACGGGACAGAACAGGCCAGCGCTCCTCGCCTGGATGGAGGCCGACAATCCCGCTCTGCCCTTCCGCCCAGACTTGCCTTCTTGCTGTGCCAATGATGTGTGAGCCGAGACAGAAGATGGATAAGGTATTAAATGAAAAGGGGTTTCCCCACATGGGGAGCATTTTTCCAGGGAATTAATCCAGCTTGTTATGAGAGATGTGGGAAGCAAACAGGGCTTGTGACGTCTCATATAACTATTATTATTGTCATTATTACTAGTATTACTGCTATTATCGTTATGCAACACCTATTTATGAGGCTGGTTAATTTTACTAAAGATTTAACCCTGAACTGCCTGGGATTCCACCCACAGAGGGCAGTAGGGGCAGGCCTGCCTGCACCACTTGTAGCAACACCTCCTGGTTTGCGTGTTTGAGCACAATGTTCAGGAGTGGCCCTGACTAATGATGGTGCTGACTGGTCAGAGGTTCGCTCTTAGCCAATAAGACAGTGTCATGTTGAAATGCGTCAATTATGCTGGAACAGATAGTGAAGGATGGGGATGTGGACATGCACACGCGCAGGCAGCACAACCTTCCCCAATGCGGCTGAACTCCCCCGTGACCTTCCCCGACGCGTCTCCTCTCCCCCGTGACCTTCCCCGACGCGTCTCCTCTCCCCCGTGACCTTCCCCGACGCGTCTCCTCTCCCCCACGACCTTCCCCGACACGTCTCCTCTCCCCCACGACCTTCCCCGACACGTCTCCTCTGCCCCACGACCTTCCCCGACACGTCTCCTCTCCCCCACGACCTTCCCCGATGCGGCTGAACTCCCCCACGACCTTCCCTGATCAGTCTCCTCTCCACCATAACCTTCCCCGATGCGGCTGAACTCCCCCACGACCTTCCCTGATGAGTCTCCTCTCCACCATACCCTTCCCCAACGTGGCTCCTCTCTCCCGCAACCCTGAAGTACATGTGCCAGACTGCACACGGGGTGACAGCCAGTGATACCGCAGGGTGCAGAAAAACATCGATATTGGTCACATTGCTACAGCACAAACAGGTAAGAGAGCCGAAGGTGGAGATCTGCAGTCCGGGGACTAAAAACAATGGGAGATGTTGGGGGGGTGGGTGCAGTGGGGGGGCGGGGTTTGTTCACATCATTATGGGGGGGTCCAGCCTCAACCACCAAAAAAAAAACAGGTTATTTTCCATGGCCAGACACCCCCCCCCCAAAGGCCTGGAGGACCCCATTTGAAGGGCACTAGCATGTAATTTGGGGGGGGGGGGGGTCACACTTCCACTGAGTCGTGGCAGTGATGATGCTTAGAGAGGTGACCTAAATTGATGGTCACACATAACATGTCCCTGAACTGGTAGTCATTAGTGGCACAGATAATGGTATGCTGTGCGTGGTTGCCATGGCGATTTGCCAAAGTGGGTGTGGCTGAGGGGTGAAGGGTGGGGCTTGCAGACTCTGCAGGTTCAGGAAAGGAGGACAGCCTCAGTGGTGGCGGAGGGGTTACAGAAAGTGTGTGTGGGGGGGGGGGGGAATCTCATGCAGTAAAAAACGTAGCCTTTTAAATAACCCGGGGACTACAGCATGTTCAACATCTCTGCCCTAATAACAACAGAAA